AAGAGAGAGAGTAGAGAGAAGGAGGAACTTTAGGTTTGATCTTTCGAGTTTTGTATTTGAGTGATAAAAGTGAGTTAAATTGACTTAAAAATCATTAAATACACGTCCCCTAAAGTACCCTAAATACCCCTCACTTAGTTGGACTCTTTAATGAACTAAAAATCGATTTCTGAATTTCTGCATTTTCGTCACGGAACAAGTCCGCAACGCGGAGCTGTTCCCTGAAGATAATTGGAATTCAATTTTGAGACAATAGAATCCGCGACACGACCACGTTGTGAACTAACTTTTTTCTCCTTGGGGGAGCTAGTCCGCAACGCGGAGCTATTCCCTCCAAGTGCAATCTGCTAGCTGCCTTGGCAGCTTGCTTCGCCAAGGTTGGGGTCCTTCTTGGGGGCGTCGTATTCGAACGTTTTGACCCTATAAATATATATTTACCTAATTTAAATTTTTTTACAATATTATACCATCATACGACACTCCCAAACCTGCCCAAAACCTAAGGACACACTAGAACACATTCTTCTCTAGTTTCCGGACGTCGTGGTCGTTTCTTGACATTTAGACTATTTCTCTTCCAAACCGAGTCAATTGCATTAATTTAGGTTTAGAAACATCATTTTAACTATTTTTAAGTCATTATTCATAAGGTGAGGCTCTATCTTAAGTCATAGAATTTCTGGGGTGTTACATTCATGTAGATATTTTCAGCGAGCACAAGAATCTCCAGTATGTTTTTAGTCAGAAGGAACTTAATCTCAGGTAAAGGAGGTGGTTAGAGTTGTTCAAGGATTATGACATGAGTATCCTCTATCACATAGGTAAGGCTAATGTTGTTGTTGATGCTATGAGTAGGTTGTCCATGGTGAGTACTGCTCATGTCGAGGAAGGCAAGAAAAAATTGGCTAAGGAAGTTCACAGACTTGCACATTTGGGAGTCTGTTTGTTAGATTCCAGTGAAGGTGGATTTGTTGTGATTAATGAGGTTGAATCGTCATTAGTTCCTGAAGTGAATTAGAAGAAGCAAGACAAAGACCCCATCTTACTTGAATTAAATGCAAATGCTCATAAGAAGAAGGTGATTGCTTTTGAACAAGACAGAGATGTTGTGTTGAGATATCAAGGTAAATTGTGTGTTCCAAAGGTGGATGAGCTCCAAGAAAGGATCATGAAAGAAATTCAAAGTTCCAGATATTTGATCCGTCCGGGTTCCACATAGATGTGTCATGACATGAGAGAAGTCTATTAGTGGAATAGTATGAAGAGGTTTATTGCAGATTTTGTTGTGAAGTGCCCAAATTGCCAGCAAGTCAAGGTGGAACACCAAAGGCCATGGGGTGTGACTCAGAACATAGCTCTTCCAGAATGGAAATAAGATATGATTAATATAGACTTCAAATCTGGCTTGCCCCGATCTCGCAGGCAACATAATTCGATTTGGGTGATTATAGATCAAATGACTAAATCAACCCATTTCTTATTGGTGAATATACCAATTCAACATAAGATTATGTGAGTTTTTACACCCGTGAGATATTTTGAATTCATGGTGTCCCTTTGTCCATCATTTAGGATAAGGGTGTGCAATTCATCGCTCAATTTTGGAAGTCATTTTAGAAATGTTTGAGTTCGAAGGTAAACCTTAGTACTGCTTTTCAACCTCAGACGGATGGCCAAGCAGAAGACATAATTCAGACCCTAGAGGATATGTTGAGAGCATGTGTCATGAATTTCAAAGGTAATTGGGATGATCACTTGTCTCTCATAGAGTTTGCTTACAATAATAGTTATCACTCCAGTATCCAGATGGCTCTTATGAAGATCTTTATAGGCGAAGGTGTAGATCTCCTATTGGTTGGTTTGTGGTTGGTGGAGCTGAGTTGGTAGGACAAGACGTAGTTTATCAATCCATAGAGAATGTGAAAATAATTTAAGAGAGGTTGAGAACAGCACAGAGTCGTTAGAAATCCTATACAGAAATTAGATGAAGATATATGGAGTTTGAGGTTGATGATTGGGTATATCTGAAGGTCTCACCTATGAAAGTTGTTATGAGATTTGGTAAGAAAGGAAAGCTCAATCTATGATACATTGATCCTTACAGAATATCCAAGAGAGTTGGTAATGTAGCTTATGAGTTGGAGCTACCATCAGAGTTAGCAGTAGTCCATCCAGTATTACACATCTCTATGCTAAAGAAGTGTTTGGGCGATCCTTCATTTATTGTTCCTACCTAGAATATTGGTATTAATGACAACCTATCTTATGAGGAGATTCCCGTTAAGATTCTTGATCGTTAGGTTTGCAAGTTGTGAACCAAAAAGGTTGCATCAGTCAATGTCTTATGGAGAAATCAGTTTGTTGAGGAGGCAACTTGGGAAGTTAAGGAGGATATGAAGACTAGATACCCTCTTCTTTTTTCCTTCGATTTAGTTCTAGTCCAAGGTATTAACTCTTTCTAAAGTACACATTCAATTCAGTCCCTCCTTCAATGTTTTGAGTTCATGAGTTTTATGTGGATTTTTCATTAAATTAGGTTGTAAAACATTTCCCTACCCTTTCCATGCTCAATTCATCTATCCTTCAAGGACGAATGATTCCAAGCGGGAGATATTGTAACACCCCAAAAATTTCTAACCTAATGCCTGAGCCATTCTTCATTTGCATTTAAGTTCGTATTGGGTGATTCTTAAGTTATTCTTAGGTGTTAATGCCAATTCTTTAGTGTGGGAATGGATTAGAATATGAATTAAGGTCACGAGAATTCCCTATCACAAAATCGAGTTGAAAGCTTCATTACCGATTAGATTTTGACATAAAATTCTACTTAGGTCCACTTCAAACGATCATATCTCTCACAACATAACGAATTATGTGGCCTATGCCCTACTAAATTAAAGGTCCTCAAGTCCTCTTTTCACCACCACCAAATTTGCCTCATATTGAGTTTGAAGTAAAAGGTTACTCTTGTTTTGCCAAAGACTATAACATCAAAGTTGCCTGAGGTCAACTCCTACGACTTGTTTCTACGAGCCGTAGAAATTTCGGCGACCCATACTGTCAACTCGTCAAAAACTTCAAAGAATCTGATTTTTAGGGTCCAACTCCTACGGATCCATTCTATGAGCCGTAGGAACTTCTACGGGTCATAGTTTGGACCTTATAATGGACTTTTGAGCCTGAAAATTGTATAAGTTCTACGGATTAGATCTACGGTCCGTAGAAACTTCTAAGGGCCATAGATTGGACCCCTTGAATGAGATTATGAGTCGTAAAATTTAATATATTCCACGAATGGGATCTACTATCCATAAAACAAATCACGAACCATAGATGGACCTGTAGAAGTTTTTGTCAGTTTTTAAGAGTGGTAGTCTAGTCTTTCCCAACCCTTCTAAGACTAAACCATGACGTTTTTACACCTAATTAAGGGTTATAAAGTGTTAATCAGTTATTTTACGTTCATTAACACTTCAAGTCTTTAGAGCAATGTTCCAAGAGGAGAAAAGTTAGGGTTTCAAGTGTTCTTCGAGCTTCGTTGATTTCGCTATGAACTTTGTTCTTCCAAGTATGTAAGGTTATCATACTGATAGACTGAGTTCGTCCTCACGCCCTACATCTACTTTCTATCAGTAAAATAACAATCTAGGGTTACATCCTTAGTTTGGTAGAGTGTATTAGGAAAAATAATGCATGTATTAGGTGTGTGTATTAGTAATACCTTGTTTGGTACACCTTTTATGTCATGTATAACTAATGCAAGCATTAGTTATACACTATATTGTGTTGTGTAATTACTAATACCAAGAAATTCTAGGTATTAGTAATACATAGCCCTTTAACACTGGCATTATATTATATAATTACAAAACTACCCTCAATGCCTTTTAAAAAAACATTTTCCATTGTACTTGTTTTAGAAACTTTTCATCTACTCTGTACTTTGTTAATGGAAAGTCAAGGTTGAGTTTCTTCTTCCTTCTGCTCAATCAAACATTATTTGCTCATCTCCAAAAGGTTAGTACTCTTATGTTTCATTATTATTTGATTTTTCTACCTCTATTTCACAATTTGGGTATAATTCTTTCTCTATCCAAATCAACGATTTAGAGTTTGCCAACCATTTTGGAATGCAATCAAAGTGTTTCGTTAATTTTAAGTTAGCAAATAGTTGTGAAAAAGTCAATCGTCTAAAGTTAATAGATCTGATGATGATATTTAGGTTTAGCTTGTATTTTAATATGCTTTGAGTTCATCTATTTCACTCTTTATATGGTCGAAAATTATAAATTTATGCACATAGCTACTTATTTAAAAGCTTTATATGTGTTCATTCTTATTTTTATCGCAAATATAGGTGTTATTATGGATCTTCAACCATTATCAGGTATTGAATATATTATTCTTGTGGAGATATTGTTTCAACAAGTTCTTGTTCTCCTTATTTGTCTTTTCATGGCTAGTTATGGTCATTCTCTAAGAAGACGATGTCAAAACAGACGTGAAGTTAGGTATCGTATGAGTGTTCGAGTTCCGAAAATCATTTTCTCACTTACACTATATCATAAATGATAATGGTAGTGTATGTATCGATAAGTTAAGAATGGATAGAAATGCCTTTCACACTTTAGTTCTCTTAACTAAGGATATTGGAGGTCTGACTGAATAGTAAAAGTATGTCAAGCAGCGAAAATTAGCAATGTTTTTTAAAATATCTTTGGCTCATCATGAGAAAAATAGATCCATCAAGGTTTGATTATATTAGATCGGGATGGAGCGTAAGTCAAGCTTTCAATGAATGCTTGAGTGCTATTCTCAAACTAGCTCCATTGCTACTTGTTAATCCTAAACCGGTACTTGAGGATGGGATTGAAGATCGATGGAAATGGTTTGAGATAGGTGAAATTGTCGTTTAGCATCTTTTAACTAATATACAAAATATGCAGTTTTAACAGTTTATGAAATATATTATATATTTTGAGATAACACTATAATTTATCTTAAAGGGTTGTTTAGGTGCACTAGATGGTACTTACATTCCCATTAGAGTTCCAATCCAACACAAACCAAGATATAGAACAAGAAAAGGAGAGATAGCAACTAATGTTTTGGGAGTTTGTGATAGAAATCTCAATTTTACTTATGTGTTACCTGGATGGGAAGGTTCAGCTGCCGATGGTCGTGTATTACGAGATGCTATAGTACGAAGGAATGGTTTGAAAATTCATGAGGGTAGGCCTTATATATGCTTTCAAGTTACATCATAGAAAGAATGGTACTAGTAACTAAATTATATGTTTATATTATAGGTAACTATTATTTGTGTGATGGAGGATATACGAATGGAAAAGGATTTCTTTCACCTTATCGAGGTTATAGATATTGGTTAAAGGATTGGCGCGGCGATAATCCATCGCCTCGATGTAAAGAAGAGCTTTTCAACATGAGGCATGCTAGAGCTCGTAATGTAATTGAAAGGGCATTTGGTTTGTTGAAAGGACGTTGGGGAATTCTTAGAAGTTCTTCATGGTACTCGGTTAAGGTTCATAACAGGATCATTAGTGCTTGCTGCTTGATTCATAATTTCATTCGTAGAGAGATGGAAGTGGATCCCTTAGACATTGATATAGAAGAACAAATGGAGTATCAACACGAGAATATTGATGTTATTGAATCGTCGGAGGAGTGGACCACTTGGAGGGATGAGTTGGCTTAATCAATGTGGAATGCAAGATTTAACAATTGACATATTGCTACATTTTGAACTATGTTGCTACTTGTTAGCTATAGAACCTTTTTGGACTTCATTTGCTCTTTAGAACTGGCCTAGTATAAATAGTTTAACTGCCAGAAACTTCTGATTTTTTGTGACCTTAATTGCACACCCTTATGTACTTTTCACATCTCTTTTGTTGTATGCTTTAGTTTAAAGTGAATCTTATGATATTTGGTTCTTTCTGATTTTTTTAATAATCTGTCGCACAAGTTCTTATAGGCGAAATGAATAGTCAAACATCATCAAATAAGAAATCAAAAATACCAAGCAACACAACACCTTCAACACGAAAGACATGGATTCCAGAAGAAGAACAAACTCTTTTAGATGGTTGGAAACTCTTTTAGACGGGCTTAAAGAGTTGTGTGCTAATGGTTGGAGAGGTGATAATGGAACCTTTAGACCAGGGCACTTGATGGAGTTAGAGCGTTATATACACAAATATCATCCTAGAAGTGGATTGAAAAGTGAACCACACATCAAAAATAAAATGAGATATTGGAAAAGATGCTATGGAAGTATAGCTTTGTTGAAGACTCGAAGTGGTTTGGGATTTCAATATAGTGATGGAACTATAATAGTTGACGATCCAAAACATTGGATTGACTTTATAAAGGTAATTAATATGTTTTTGTTATTTCATATGGTACTTTCCTTGTTAGTTACTTTAATTATTCATAGTTGATGTGCCTTTAAACTAGTGATCAAGTAAATTGTTATCATCACATATACAGTAGCATCTAGCCTCTCTTTAGATCCTTTTACAATTAATTAATATCATATTGTTCTATTTTATTTTTTAATTTTCTAGATTGATCCACAAGCCAAGAAAATGAATACTAAGAAATGGCCACTGTTTAAGGATTGGGAAGAAATCTTTGGTAAGGATAGAGCAACAGGAGAGTTTGTTGAAGGGCCGCTAGATGCTACTGAAGAAATTCAAAAGAGTCAAGCTCCACAACATTCTAATGACATGAGTTTGGGATTTCTTATTGATGTTGATCTTGATGATGATGAAGAAGAAGAAGAAAATGCTTACCATAGCTCTAAAATTGGTACGAAGCTGAAAATGTCACTGGACAAGATGAATTTGCTACAGCTAAAGGTTTCACCGAACATAGTTCATTTACTGGAGCTGAAAATGTCACTGGACCTAGCGTATTTAATGAAGGAGAAAAATGTTACTGGTTCTGAAAATGAACATGCTGGATCCCAAAAAAGTCATAAACAAGGTGAGTATTCTAAAAGATCATCTTCTAATGTTAATGAGAAAGAGAAAAGCAAGAAAAGGAAAAAAATAGTAGAGGATGATAGTGAGACATTTCTTAAGGGTATGATGGAAGTTATGAAAAACTTTACTGAAAGTCAAGACAAAAGAATTGGTTCCTTGATTGAAAAGATGGGGGATCGTGATCGATCTGATGTTCGTGGTCAAGTTTATTCTATCCTTGAATCCCCTGTATTTGAGTTGTACACCACAGAGCAACGTATAAAAGCTGCAATGATTCTCTGTAAAGACGACAAAAAGATGGAATTATTTTTACGTATGGGTGAACATGATCGTCAGACAATGATGTGGATGGTTGTCCATGATAAACTTTGAAGTA